GCCGGAACGCGGCGGAACCGCGTTCCGGCACCTTTTTCCGGGCCGGCCGCACCGGAAATAGCCCCTCCCACACCGGAAATAGCCCCTCCCAAATTTTACTTGCATTCCTGTTCTCTAAAGGGGCGGTCCTAGGGTTTGATGAGGGCGTGGCCAGGTTTGAGTTCCGCCACCTTTTCTCCGAGAAAAAAAGCCCTGGCCACATGAAACCACTTCGTGGGCCGCATCCAGCCCCCGGGCCTTGTGTTTGACATGTCTGATGTAGAGGTTGGGGAAAGACATAAAATGGAGCAATAGGTATACAGCCCCATTCTTCTCCAACGTTGAGTTTTCAACACACTCGGATATATGACTCCATGAGGCTATTGTCTTTCTCTGATCTATTTCAGGGGTTTTACTCCAGGCTATGTCCTGTCTTGACATGAACGGAACCTTAACAACATTTAAATAAATAGTCCTATAATTGCTGTTATATATGGGGTCATGGTGATCTCTGGTAGCTATCCAAAGAACTAGCCACACCACACAATTTTGCAAGACCTTTCAGTTGAGAGGAAGATAACTTTTTGTTATGTTTTGTTGGCATCACATTTCGACTTATTTTTAAGCATTTTAACCATCCGATCTGAAGTATAGCTGCATTCACATATAAACATTTAGGTTGGTCTGGCCAGCCATGTGCTAGAACAATATTGCAAAAGATGACGTTCTGCCTATTTTGTAGAAAGATATTATCAGAGTTCCAGGCAACTGCCTGAGTGTTTGTGATTCATATTCATCCAGAAATTTTAGAGTAAATGTTTTCAGTGTATCCTTCAAATATCAGGTCAAGGATTGAGGAAATTTCTACCATGTCTCCTACAATATATCCCTCCAAAATTACAATGAAATATTAATATAAGCTTTGGGGGGAGGGCAGTTTGAAATTACCCATGAACACTGGAATGTTGCTATTTGAGAATCTTGTTTATAGGGGCAAGGATTCTGCAGGACAACTTCAGAAAATATTCTGTTCTCCACACCAATCATGATCACTAGTACCAGAAACATAAGGAAACCAGTGTGAATTGCCCTTTCTAGAAACTCGTAAGGCTGCTTAGCCAGCTATCTAGGGCAGCGGTTCTCAACCTATGGGTCGCGACCCCATTTGGGGTTGATCGACCATTTCACGGGGGTCGCCAAGCAAGGCTGTCCGCCATTTTTTTTGTCCACCATTTTTTTTCCCTTTTACGGCGGGTGCCTTACCTCCCTTGGGCTGGGCCAGCTGGTGGTCGGCCTGCTCCGTCTCTGCCGCTTGCCAGCTACGCCTTGGCCGGCGCAGGGGGCGGAACCACGCATGTGCGGCGCTCCCGGGCAGGGAAAGTCCTCGACTTACGACCGGTTTAGTCCTCGACTTACGACCGGTTTAGTCCTCGACTTACGACCGGTTTAGTCCTCGACTTACGACCAGTTGGGGGTCGCGGCATTAAAAAGGTTGAGAACCACTGATCTAGGGACTAAGATTTGTATGAGAGGTCCATTTGTATATATCACCAGTTAAGGGTTCCAGTTGCTTGACACATGGGAAAAATGATCCATCACCACTACCCCCATCTCTGCCAAGAATGGAATTTGTTCTTTTGAGACCTGTGAATGAACCTTGTTCTAATTTTAGGAAAGGTATCAAGCCCCATTTTATCTAATAATTAGATTCAAATATTTATTGTTGTCATTTAGTGGCTTGAGTGGATTTGAAATGATGTGACTGTTTCAAGCTGAGAAGTGCTCCACCTTGCATCGATAGCTTTACAGGCGTTAGCGCTATGAAAATATTGATAATTAAAATGTTTTCGTTTATGTATCTTTTGAAATAATATGCAATATGATATTCGTATTGTTTAATGTCCCAACAGGGACAGTCAAATGAAGAAAATGAAGGTGGAAAGGGAAGTGAAGAGACCACAGTGGCTCCCACTACACCTGCTGCAGCTGAAGATAACAAGACTGATGGAAATGCCGACACTGTCCAAAAGGTGAGCAAGTTATGGGGATTTGGAATACAGCAAATCAAATAAAAACATTGTTATGATCAAAGAACAATAATAAAGCAGACAGGTAGACAAATACAAAAACACATAGAAGGAAACTGGTCTTTAAGATGCATCATCATCTCCCACATCCTTGGCTATAAAACAAAATTTGGTGATGCCAAAAAGTTCCTGAAAGTCCTTATTGGTTAATAGAAAGTTGTGTAGGTCATCTCCTACAAGGATGATATTATCTATTCAATTGTGTAATTCTTGGCAGTTCTACGGGCCAGGTCATCTGACTGTCCTGGCACTATTACTGAAAAGAAGGTAATATTAAATTTTGGTTATTAACACCAGGCATCTCACTGTAAGGAAAAATCACAAAACTGCACCTCAATTATTTTGGCCCTGTCATGAAGGAGAATTCACTGGGAAAAGCAATAATATTTGGAAGAGTTAGTGCAAAAGGAAACCAGGCTGCCAAAGAACATGGTGGCTGGACACCATCAAAGCTGACACCAGCTAGAGCATAGAACAACTCAAAGTAATGCAAGATGTGGATAGACCTGGCCCATAGAATTGCCAAGAGTTGGACACAATTGAATGGATAACATCATCATTGTAGGAGATGACCAGGCTGAGCCTGAGGGAGGGGTCAAATACGTCATCACTCATGAGTCTCTGTGCACCCACAAGAGATCTAAGTCCAGCCCAGCTTGAATTCCTTTCTTAACTCCCACTCATTTCCTTGACTGCTAGTAGTTCAGATTCTTGTAGAAAGCTTCAACTTGCAATAAATTTTTATACTCATTTGAACTGCCTGAATCTCCTGATTCCCCCAGCGTTTGACAATCATCACCATCATCACCAAGTTTTGGGATAAAGCCAAATCAGATCTTCACTGAAGGAGGAGATGTCTACTCGTTTCAATTTCTTTCATACCCCAAAGGCTCAGGTAGCATGTTATAGAAATTTTGTGATAGGAAGGGCATTCTGACATATCTTGCAAAGTGCACATGCCTTTGATTTTTAGAATAAATCAGTGGATAAAGATACAATGATTCTGCCATCAAACGTAGTTGGAATCATACAGAAGCGGAGTACCTGATCTAGACAGAACTCTAACTCTAAACCAGAAGTCATTTCTTGCAACAGTATATATGTATTGAATAACAATTCAGTGGTGCAAGTAGGTCTTTCAACTTTATGAATTTAAGAGTCCCATAATTTTTATACAGTCCACATTAGTGAAGGTTAAAACCAGATCACACATACTGGGAATAGGGTGCCTTTGCAGATCATAATTAGCTTCCTAATCTATTCCCCCCCCCTTTTTTTTTTGCATCAATATAGGTACCAGCAGTAAAAGAGCCTCCTCAGAAACCGGGGAAAGAAGCAGGTGATAAAAAGGTTGAAAAGGAAAATGTTCCCAAAAAAGGTGCAGAGGAAGAAGACAGTGATGAAAATGAGGAAGAGGAGAATGAAGAGGAAGAAGAGGAGAAAGTAGATGAAAACGGAAGTGGTGTTAATGCCACCAGCACAAACAGCACCGTCGAAGAAACTGGAAATGGTGGAGAGGAAGAAGAAGAGGAAGAAAATGAAGCAACCACAATCAGTCTAACCACCCTGGTCACAACTGTCAACCCCACTGAAAGTACTACAGGTGAACAATTGCAAGAAGGGACCACTCCTGCCGATCAGGGCCAGTATGACACCACCACAAATGGCTATGAACATGAAGTCCAAACTGATTATTATGGCAGTGAGAATGGGTACCCACGAGGAGATAATTTCAGAACATATGAGGATGAGTATAGTTACTATAAAGGGCATGGATATGATGTGTATGGCCAAGATTATTACTATAATCAGTGAAAAAAAGGAAGCCATCTCTTGACATGTTCATTATATATTTTTGCATGTCAACTGTTCACAAAGTCTACTCAGGAAAATGCATCACAATAGAATGGTGCTAGTAAAATAAGATAAAACAGTTAATATCTGGTATTAGTGCTAACTATGAAAATAGGTTGTTTTTAAAGGTATGTCTTTGATCAATATTTGTGTAGCCATTATGGATTTATAAATTTATTGATTTATTTTAAAGAAATAATCATATTGCAGATGAGTATCATTTTGTTGTTCAACATTAAACTCACTTTTTCTTTGGATGGTGCAGAACTTGGACCAGGCTCCATATTAGCCACTTCTTTGTCAGATGAAAATATTATCAGACTGGTTTGTCATATAAAATAGATGGCCCATTCTTGTATTTATATTAGAGTTTTGCGATATACCGACCAGATTAACTCAAAGTAAACATAATGAAATAAGTTAAATATTTCAGACCAATTTCACTGTATTCTGAATTGTTTTTGTAATGATTAAGGTTATAATTATGGTTGCACTAGTTACAGATGAAAAATAAAATCATTTCTACTACTACATTGCATTGAAAGCTCAGACTACCATCTATAGCAGACATGTCAAACTCGTGACATCGCGCGACGTATCAGGACCATTGCCGGCAATGGGGTGGGCACGACTTCTGCATGATGTGTCCAGCCCGTGGGACAGCAGTTTGACACCCCTGATCTATAGCAGGGGTCTTCAGACTTGGCCCTTTTATGACTTGTGGACTTCAACTCCCAGAATTAACTCTTAGTCTTAATTAACTTGTTTCTTCATGGCTTATAGTTTGTGAGGTTCATTATACAGTTAACAAGAAAGTAAATATTTGAATTAGACTTTAGTTCTGAAGGCAATATGTTAAAAATACTATTTTGAATTGAATATGTATGTAGGAGGCAGGCTGAACAATATGTCCAATATGATCTCCCCCCTGAGTTATATTGTTTAGAGTCACTACAAAATGAAGTTCAAGAAATTTTAGAAAATTCAACTCTAGCCTTGCCTTGCCCCATGTTCTGTCTGCCAGCAGTGATAAATAGGATAGCCAGAAAAGAGTATGTTGGATACATCTATGCACAGTTGTTCCTGACAGCATAAGACTCTTCCAGGAAAGTCTACCATGGCTGGGTTTCATAAGAGGGTTTGATCTGAGAACTTGGCAGATGGTACATTTCAGATTTCATGCAAGAGAGGTGAAAATGTTGCCACGCTACCTCAGACCTGAAAGGTCCTTTTAGTAATCCAATTTATATAGGCCTGAATCTAGACCAGTGGTAGGCAACCTCGGCTCTTTTATGACTCATGGACTTCAACTCCCAGAATTCCTGAGTCAGCATAGCTGACTCAGGAATTCTGGGAGTTGAAGTCCATGAATCATAAAAGAGCCGAGGTTGCCTACCCCTGATCTAGACTATATTACAACATTTAAAAACATTAGTAATTTGCTACATTTTAAACATATGCAGGTAGTCCTCAACGTTTGACCACAATTGAGTCCAAAATTTATGTTGCTAAACGAGAAACTTGTTAAGTGAGTTTTGCCCCATTTTATGACTTTTTTTGCCACAGTCTGGGACACTGCAACCGTCATAAATCGGTCAAGCATCCGAATGTAAATCACGTGATCATGGGGATGCTACAACGGTCAAAAGTGTGGAAAATGGTCATAAATCACATTTTTCAGTGCAGTTGCAACTTCAAATGGTCACTAAAGAACTGTGGTAAGTCAAGGACTACCTATACTCATTTAACAGGGCAGAATGGCTACATTACAGCTTACGATCATAACAAGAGCCAGAATTTCTGTTGCTAAGCAAGGCGATTGTTAAATGAGTTTGCATGATTTTATGACCTTTTTTGCCGCAGTTGTTAATCACTGCAGCTATTAAGTGAATCATGCAGTCATTAAGTAAATCCAGTTTCTCCCATTGACTTTGCCTGTCAGTAACTGGCTGGGAAGGTCGCAAAAGGTGATCACATGACCACAGGAGGCTGCAACCGTCATGTAAATACATGACAGTTGTCAAGTTCCCCAATTTTGATCACATGACCATGGGGATGCTGCAATGGGTGTAAATACAAGGACCAGCTGCAAGTCACTTTTTTCAGTGCTGTTTGAACAGTCACTAAATGAATGTTGTAAGCTGAGGATTACCGATAATGGTAGAATTTGAAGACTTTTTGAATAGATTCAGTGTACCCCGTATGATATACCTTTTGAAATAAAAAAGAGAAGATTAACTTTTGCACAGAGTACCCATTAAACTACATTAACTTGCATAGATTTTAGTCAGGTGTGTGTGTGTATGTGTGTGTGTGTACTTATTGCATTTATAACTTGCATCCTCTTTAATAAGAATTCGTGGTGACATCCTATAAAACAGCTTGAGCTGAGAGAGAGAAGAGAAAGAGAAGTGACAAAGACCTATTGCCACCTAGAAGGCTCTGGTTATAAACTCAAAACAAATACAAGTACAGTACAAGAAGATAACGTTTGGTAAGGCCACACTTGGAATACTGCATCCAGTTTTGGTCACCATGATGTAAAAAAGATGTTGAGACTCTAGAAAGAGTGCAGAAAAAAGCAACAAAGATGGATCAGGGGACTGGAGGCTAAAGAACAGTTGCAGAAATTGGGTATGTCTAGTCTAATGAAGAGAAGGACGAGGGGGGACATGATAGCAGTGTTCCAATAACTAAGAGGCTGCCATAAAGAAGAGGGAGTCAAGCTATTCTCCAAAGCATTTGAAGGCAGGACAAGACGCAATGGAGGGAAACTAATCAAGGAGAGAAGCAACCTAGAACTAATGAGAAATTTCCTGACAGTTAGAACAATTAATAAGTGGAACAACCTGCCTCCAGAAGTTGTGAATTCTCCAGATTTTTAAGAAGAGATTGGGCAGCCATTTGTCTGAAATGGTATAGGGTTTCCTGCCTGAGCAGGGGATTGGACTAGATGACCTCCAAGGTCCATTCCAACTTTATTATTATTATTATTATTATTATTATTATTATTATTATTATCATCATCACCATCATCATTATCATTATCATTATCATTATCATTATCATTATCATTATCATTATCATTATCATTATCATTATCATCATCATCATCATCATCATCACCATCATTAGTCAAGAGCAAGAACAAGAATATATATATTTTTTAAGATAAGGTACTTTCTTTTCTGCTTGTGTATTTGCGATCCTTCCTTTTTCAATCTGGTTTTAGACCCATAGCACTTTAACTGGAAACCTCCATATGCTTTATATTTTTTAATCTCACCCATCTACCCTGAAATGACACAGTTATTGAAATTTAGGCGGCAAAAGTTTCTGTGTGTTTGAACTAGGAGCTCCTGACGGAAATCAATCAATCCAGATGAGATTGTTTGCAGTTACTCCTTCCTAAAAATATTACAAATGAATATATGTGCATATATAATTATACCTGAATAACAATGGATCTGAACATTTTTCATCTAACATTTGGTCGCTCTCTTATATTCCTCACTGATAACTGAAGGAACTCTTTCTGCTGGTAAAAACAATATGCTGGTAAATACTTTAATCAATGAAAGTACAACTACAGAACCACTCACATAAAAAAAAGAAAAGAAACTGCCAGTATTTCCTAAACTTTGAGATGATGGATGGTACTTCCACAATAAAAGGCATCTTGCCTCTCATTTACCAATGTTCCATTTTTATTTTAAACAATATTTTTCTTCTTTTCACACAGTGAGTTGTCGTTTCTTTTATCAAATATTCGTATTATGTCATTTCAACTCTGTTTGATCCATGTGCATCTGACAAAAAAGACTACTGCAGGACAATTAGTGTCTAAAGTTTCCACAATAGCTATTTTTGTATGTTTAGTAACACAAGCCTGAGGCAAAAAAAAAAAAAGCCCTCCTGGCAGTCAAAACATAGCCTTATAACTCAGGGTTTCTCAACCTTGGCAACTTTAAGATGTGTGGACTTCAACTCCCAGAATTCCCCAGCCAGTTGCCAAGGTTGAAAAACCTTGTTATAATAGTTCTGACACATTCAATTTAATAAGATCTGTCTATTCATCAGATACATACATACACACAACAATAACAACAATAA